CATCTATACATGACTACTGGAAAAACCATAGCTTTGACTATATGGTCATTTGTTGGCAAAGTGATGTCTCTGCTTTTTCATACACTGTCTAGGTTTGTCATAGCTTTTCTCCCAAGGAAAAGCGTCTTTTAATTTTGTGGCTGTACTCACCGTCCACAGTGATTTTGGAGCCAAAGAAAGTCAAACCTGTCAGTTTCCACTTTTTCCCCCATCTATTTGCCATGAAGTGATGTGACTGGGTGCCAGGATCTTAAGTTTTTTGAATGCTGAGTTTTAAGCCAGCTTTTTCACTCTCCTCTTTCACATTCATCAAGAGACTCTAGTTCCTCTTTGCTTTCTGCCATTAGAGTGGTATCACTTGCATATCCGAGGTTGTTGATATTTCTCCCAGCAATCTTGATTCCAGCTTGTGAGTCTTTCAGCCTGGCATTTCTCATGATGTACTCTGCATATAAGTTAATAAGGAGGGTGACAATATATAGCCTTGACGTATTCCTTTCCCAGTTTTGAGCCAGTCCCTTATTCCATGTCTGGTTCTAACTGTTGCTTCTTGCCCTGCATACAGGTTTCTCAGGAGACAAGTAAGGTGGTCTGGTGTTCACATTTCTTTAAGAATTTTCCACAGATTGTTATGATCCACACAATCAAAGGCTTTAGTGTAGTCAGTGAAGAAGTAGATGCTTGTTTGGAATTCCCTTGCTATTTAATGATCCAACATTTTCTAACTTTCTTTTTTTTTTTTTTTATTTATTTTATCACAACCATAGTGTATCTTTTTTTTTTTTTTTTACATGTATTCCCCATCCCGGTCCCCCCTCCCACCTCCCTCTCCACCCAATCCCTCTGGGTCTTCCCAGTGCACCAGGCCCGAGCACTTGTCTCATGCACCCAACCTGGGCTAGTGAACTGTTTCACCCTAGATAATATACGTGTTTCAATGCTGTTCTCTTGAAACATCCCACCCTCGCCTTCTCCCATAGTCCACAAGTCTGTTCTATACATAGGAGTCTCTTTTTCTGTTTTGCACATAGGGTTATCGTTTCCATCTTTCTAAATTCCATATATATGTGTTAGTATACTGTAATGGTCTTTATCTTTCTGGCTTACTTCGCTCTGTATAATGGGCTCCAGTTTCATCCATCTCATTAGAACTGATTCAAATGAATTCTTTTTAATGGCTGAGTAATATTCCATGGTGTATATGTACCACAGCTTCCTCATCCATTCGTCTGCTGATGGGCATCTAGGTTGCTTCCATGTCCTGGCTATGATAAACAGTGCTGCGATGAACATTGGGGTACACGTGTCTCTTTCAGATCTGGTTTCCTCAGTGTGTATGCCCAGAAGTGGGATTGCTGGGTCATATGGCAGTTCTATTTCCAGCTTTTTAAGAAATCTCCACACTGTTTTCCATAGTGGCTGTACTAATTTGCATTCCCACCAACAGTGTAAGAGGGTTCCCTTTTCTCCACACCCTCTCCAGCATTTATTGCTTGTAGACTTTTGGATAGCAGCCATCCTGACTGGTGTGTAATGGTACCTCATTGTGGTTTTGATTTGCATTTCTCTGATAGTGAGTGATGTTGAGCATCTTTTCATGTGTTTGTTAGCCATCTGTATGTCTTCCTTGGAGAAATGTCTGTTCAGTTCTTTGGCCCATTTTTTGATTGGGTCATTTATTTTTCTGGAGTTGAGCTGGAGGAGTTGCTTGTATATTTTTGAGATTAATCCTTTGTCTGTTGCTTCGTTTGCTATTATTTTCTCCCAATCTGAGGGCTGTCTTTTCACCTTGCTTATAGTTTCCTTTGTTGTGCAAAAGCTTTTAAGTTTCATTAGGTCCCATTTGTTAATTTTTGCTTTTATTTCTAAAATAACTGACTTCAGACTATACTACAAAGCCACAGTCATCAAGACAGTATGGTACTGGCACAAAGACAGAAATATAGATCAATGGAACAGAATAGAAAGCCCAGGGATAAATCCACGAACCTATGGTCACCTTATCTTTGACAAAGGAGGCAAGGATATACAATGGAAAAAAGACAACCTCTTTAACAAGTGGTGCTGGGAAAACTGGTCAACCACCTGTAAAAGAATGAAACTAGAACACTTTCTAACACCATACACAAAAGTAAACTCAAAATGGATTAAAGATCTAAATGTAAGACCAGAAACTATAAAACTCCTAGAGGAGAACATAGGCAAAACACTCTCCGACATAAATCACAGCAGGATCCTCTATGACCCACATCCCAGAATTTTCTAACTTTCAAACTAAATTAATCTGTACCTAACACAGAGTAAATCAGTGAACTGGCTGCCACATTTCCCCTGATTGGATTTCAGACTCATGGTGAGGTACTAGGAAAATTCTGGCTCAATTATTACTGACATAGGAGTCTTTACAGTTATTAGAAAACAGCCCAGGAAGAAAAGAAAAAACGGATTTATGTGATCCTGTATTGCTAAATGTGGCACACTGCTGCTATCTTTTCTTTACTGCTTCCTCTAAGAGTCGTCATTTCAATGCACTAATCTTTTAAACAGCCATTCAGTGGGAATTGGGCTAGAACTTTGCTAAGGGGTCACATTTACCAGCCTGACAGTTATACATTTACAAAAGAAATGGCATGAATTTATTCAGCATCAAAACCTCTGCATCTTTTACCACCCGACTGCATTTCACACCGTATTACCATCAGTGCACTATAATGGCTATATAAATTCCATTCAGATTCTTCATTTAATTAACTAGCATTCTTTGAACAAAAATAAAAGTGCTGTTTTTATAGAGGAATAAAGGCTGCATGAAGCAAATGTGAAGGAGACAAATCATCGAATTAGTTATTCTTCATTGCTGCTATGGTGAATTCTCTGCCCCTCGCTTTCTCTTCAGTGACAGTATTATTTTTTTCCTAGCCTGATTGAATGGAAAATGGGGAACGGTGTAGCAGCCTCAAATGTGTTTGAGTGTGTTGTAATGACCACATCCTAAGCTCATGCAGGGCTGGGCACTGATGATATTGTCACCTACAAGCCATTTGGTTTTTTAGCATATTCTGTAGCCAAGACTGTGGACTTTGTAACTAAACGGCCTGGGTTCAAATCCCAGCTCTGCCACTTACTAAGTTTATGATTCTGAGCGAACTACTTAACTTTCCAGTTTCCTGCCTATTAAATGAGGATAAAAATGGACATAGCTCTCACAGCACTGGGTAGATTATTTGAGGTGATCTATCCAAAACATTTAGAGCCCTGTTGACACATAGTAGGCCGTTACCTGCTATTCGTGCAGTCTTTTGTGAAGGTGATCCAGTTGTGACCATAACCCTTGATCGCCTGGGCTGAACTGACTGATGTGTTAGTTAGATAGGTGTCCTTTTACCGCTTCTCTGCCCAGAACCCTCCAGTTGCTTTCCCTCTGGCCGTGAGTAAAACTAAAGTCCTCACAATGGCCTACAAAGGCCCTCAAGATCCGCCACTCCACGCCGTCACCATCGCTGCCCAGACACTGTGCCCACTGTACCCCCATGTCTGCGCCCCCTTTTTCCTGTCCTCTCCTGTCTCGTGCAGCCACCCAGCTTCCTTGCTGTTCTCTGAAGATGCAGGCACAGTGCTGTCCCAGTTCCTCTGCACAGGCTGCTCTCTCTGCCCAGAAAGCCCTTCTTTCAGAAGTCTGCACAGCTCCATCCTTTCTGCTGTCCTCTGATTAAAAGTCTTCTCCGTGAGATCTTCATTGATTATCTCTAGTTTGCCCTCTCCCCAGACTAGATTATAAGTACTGGGGGACAAAAGGAGGACTTTGTATTGTGTTAGGTGCTCCCTCTTCAGTACCTGAGACACAAACTCACACACAGTAAGTACTTAATAGCTACTGAATGTATGAATGGAGAAGTGGCCCTTAAATATGTCCTGCAGTAAAAACATTTCTAACTCTCCCCTAGGCTCAAACAAAAGCAAGTGTCCTGTAAAAGCTCCCAGAAAATTAAAATAGCCATAGTTGAATATTAGCCACGACAATTGGAGCAGAAAGTTCCATTGCAGAGAAAAACAATTTCTGCATCAAGTTAAAAAAAAAAAAAGAAAGAAAGAAATGGTTTACATTATAGCAAGTGCAATATTAAATTATATTGCTGTCCTGGAAACTGTTATTGAGCCAGCACCAAGACACATTTTTGAGAGTGCAAGTGCTTTGGGCCACACCATCGACTTCCTAAGGTGAAAAATACAGCTAGTGTATAGTTTTGTTCTCATTTTTGTCATGTAGTGGTGGAGTAAAATGGTGAAAAGAGCATTAATGTTGGAGTCAGGTAAAGCTGAGTTTGAATTCTGGCACTCCTATCTGCCCTTGCATAGGTTATGTTACCTCTCTGAGCCTCTGTTGATTATGTATAAAATGGTTTTTAGTAATGCCTTTCCTTCAGTGTTGTTCTAAATGTGGTGAGCATTGCATCCTATAGAAATGGCTGTATATTTTGCTACTGAATTCTGCCTTTTGGCTTAAGTCAAACTGGGGAGGTAGCTCTTAGACTGATGTCTAGGAATAAGATTTGGCTCCTGGGGCTTGAACCACCAAGAAGCCCTTAACACTATAAATCTCTCAGCAGGATCTGATGGAGCTGCAAAAACCTTCATAGAACATGAGCCCTACCACCTCCTTGACTTTTGTAGAAATCTGCTCTTTTTATCTTTTGAGCCAATTTTTATTCTCTTTTCCACTTTCGATTCTCTTCTGCTTCTCTTATTTTCAAAATTTTCTCCTAAATGTGTGAAGTTGGAGAGTCCATACTGAAAGTTATCCAAGAAATCAAGGAAAAGTAAGGTCACACATGACCTTAATTAAATAACATGAATATTAGTTTTCAAATTGAGATGTGAAAAATATAAGTACATTGATTCATTTTTTGAATTATAACTTCCAGAAGGAAGAAAATATTTTGTTTAAAGCGCTACTACTTTTACATTCTTTTCTTCAATGACATTATTTTTTAAATATTTAGGAAACCAAAGCTGTGGTCGAAGAAACAAGAGCCCTGCGAAGCCGGCTTCATCTTGCCGAAGCTGCACAGAGACAGGCCCATGGGATGGAGACGGACTACGAGGAAGTGATCCGTCTGTTAGAGGCTGAGATTACAGAGCTGAAGGCTCAGCTTGCTGATTATTCTGACCAAAATAAAGTAAGCAAAACAGTTCTCTTTTCTAGTTACCATGGTTTCCTTGCCGTAGCCATGTATCCTGTTTTCATTTTTTTTTTTCTATCTGCACTTCTAAACTAGGTCAGTGTTTGTCTCTGTTATTCAGTGATAGGATGATGTTTCGTGGTGGGGGTAATGTGAAGGTTATGAGCCTCTCTTTATCCAGATAGCTTTGGGATGGGAAAGTATGTGCCCCAAATTTATTTGGGTCACTGGTCAACATTGTACAACTCAGTCATTAAGTCCCATTATGTTGGTTTCCTCCTTTTTCCCTAAACTTGCTAATTTGTCTTTTAATTCTGTTTTACTCTTTGTTTAGAGCACTTGAGGAAGTGTGAAAGTTAAATAATTTTTTGCCAAAGGCCCAAGTTAATTAAGAGAAAGAAACTTGAGTTTGAATTTAGCAGGCTTCAATTTCAGTAGCAAAATACTGACTGCTTTTCAGAAGGCAGTATGACCTTTCTTTTAATGTGAATTTTTTTATTATGTGACTTTGTAAAACATTATACATACTATATTCATTGAACGGTATTCAAAAACTGTAATAGGCATATATACTTTTTTTTCACTGAAATAAGGTAGAAAATTAAATAAATTGAAACCGATATTTTATAACTTCCTAGAATTTATTTCTAACCATAATAAGTGTTTATGTCTCTAATCTAGTCATCTTTCAAGAGAACATAAAACAAGTTTGAAAAATATACAGTTATTTATTTAAACATAAAAGAGTTAACTACTTTAAATATACCAAGTGGAAATGAAACTAGTTTAGAAAAGCAAGATATAGAAGAAAATCTGAAATTTTCTTTGGTTGTCTAAGAGATACATTTTTCACATCTGCCATTTAAGCGAGTTCCAAAAGAAGGCTGTTGTTCCTGTCACCCATTGATAATACCATAAGGCCAAGGGGGAGCAATACGTTAGATGGCAGAAATACTATGGAATGTTGCATATATTTATTATTCTTGACCCAGTGTTTATGTTCTGAAATCAGAGATATATGCTTATTTCATGTGAGTAACTTAACATGATTCTGAAAATATTGGAATTATCAAAATATTAAGAGTACTTTTTAAATAATAACTTGATTGGAGGTTCTAGCAGGGGAGCACAACTACTCATATACCCTTGACCGAAGACCGGTCCTCCTCTATCGGGGATGGTCGTCCCGCTTGACCGAGCGCGCAGCTTCCGGAGGGACGCACATTGACTTGATTTATTTTTGGAGTGATAATCAAGTCTTTAAAAATACTTTCTTTTTAAATAATATAACATTTAAGGAATTCATATGAATTTATTCATTTTTTTAAAGCATAGGTTATTTGCTATTCTCTATTTCAGCTCCTAGCTGAAAAACATTTTTGTCTTAAGTTTTGTGGTAATATAATTAATTCAGTTCTCTTTTTTAGCATAATGGTGTCTCATGCCATTCAGAGGAACAAAATTTTGTCAAGAGAACAAAATCCTAAACTAAGCCATTAGCCCATGTCTGAAAATAATCTTTTTTTTTCCCCCAAAGAGATGTTAGACATGAACATCGCAACATTTTCCAAACCGAGTACCAGTGGAGAAAGAGAAAGAAACTTTTTTTTATTTGTTTGAGATTGCTTGAAGAGAAACTGACCAAAATATCACAGAATTCAGATTCAGATATTCACTTTTAAAACAGATTATTTTTATAACAATAAATATTTTTCTTACAGGTTTTCCCTTATATTATCTCTATGTTTACTTATCTCCCTTTTTATTTATTTTTTCCTTCAGCTTAAGAAATAAAAATTTACCACTATGTTTGAAGACCCACAGTGTCCCTTTCCAATTTCATCCCATAGAACCACTTTCCTAGATTTAATCTTCACCATTTTCTTGATTATTTTACTACCTGTGTATATATATCCCTTAGTCTTCACTGGTGTCTCAGACAATAAGGAGTCCACCCACAATGCAAGAGACCTGGGTTTGATCCCTGGGTCAGGAAGATCCCCAGCAGAAGAGAATGGCTACCCAGTCCAGTATTCTTGCCTGGGGAATCCCATGGACAGAGGAGCCTGGTGGGATACAGTCCATGGGGTCACAAAGAGTCAGACACGACTGAGCACTTAAGCATGCACACACATATCCCTCAACAATATATTGTTGAATTTTGCCAGTTTGTCAACTTTATATGAGTAGAAAACATATTACTTTTATTATTCTGACTTGTGTTTTTTTCACTCAAAATTTTGTATTTGTGATTTATTTATTTGAAGTTTATAGCTAGTTCGTGTCTTTTCATTGCTTTTTTGTATTCCATTGACTGGATAACTACAGTGTATTTGTTCATACTGTATTTGATAGACAGCACAACTGTTTCAGTTTTTTTCTTTTATGAACAATGTTGCTAAAAAGTTTTGTATATAAATCCTACTCCACATGTGTAGCAGTTCTCTTTTGTTCCTACTAGAGTGGAATTGGTAGGTTGAGTGATGATTGTATGATCAGTTTGACTGATTACAATTAGGCAATGCCAATTGTGTTTGAAAGTATTTACACGGATCTTAACTCTGTTCAATGACATCAGATGGTTAGCTTGAAATGAGTCATGGTGAGGTTATTTACACAACCAAATGCAATAAACCAGAGCTTTGCCTCTTGTCCCAGATAGCCAGTTGAGCTAATATTTATGCCTTTATTAGGTTTTTGTGTTTCTATGCGAAATGTTTCTTCTTATTTTTGATGTTGTAAAAATCTTCACGTAAATTTATGCTTGCCTTTGCACCCTAAGGTGAAATGAACAGGTGTTGTTTTCATATAATCCAACTTATCGGTCTTTTCCTTCATGTGTCTTTCTAGAAGTCCCTCCATTCTCAAAAATGGTTTTATATTTGTCTCTAAAAGTTTTTAAAATTTGATCCTCTGTCATGGTTTTATGTCATTGTATGAGATAGGGGTCCATTTCATTCTTTCTTTCTTTTTCTAAATGAATGATAAACTATCCAGCCGCTTTCATTCAAAAGCCTGTTTTACTCTAAATCTTGATCTGATGACCCTGTCTAGTTCTTTTTCTTTACATGTGTGGTAGCTACATAATCCTTTGATCTTTTATGTGTATTTTAGACTCAGATTATAAATTCCATCAAAAGAAATAAATACCAATGTAGTTTATACTGGAATGCATTAAATGTATAGATTAATTTGGGGAAAATTTGCATATTTATAATTGCATCTTGATTCATAAACATCATTGAGGAACAGAAAGGTTAATTGCATGTGGCCAGAGGATCTAGTCTATAGATAACAACTCCAGAATTTATTGATGATTGTTTCACGGTTTACTGTATGGCCAGTGTTTACAATACTCAGAGTGAGCTTGAAAAGAATTCTGCAGTCATTTCATGTATTGTTTTATAGAGTCCACTAGATCATTATCATTAATTGTAGGGTACAATTCTTCTCCAGTAATATTAATTTCTTTCTTAGGGAATAGATTAAAATTTGTCTTGTGATTTCTTTTCTAAATTTTCTTTATATATTTTGAAGTAATGCTTTTAGTTGCGTACAAGCTTGGAATCACATTATCATCCTTTTATGAAAATGCTGTGACTCTTCACTCTAGCAATCTTCCTTCTCCCTTAATGCTTATTTTTGATTGATTTTAAAATAGTTACACCAGCTTTATTTTAGTCTTTACCTATGTATATTTTTCCATCCTTTTACTTTCAACTTTTCAGTGTCCTTATATTAGGTTCAGTTCAGTTCACTTCAGTCACACAGTCATGTCTGACTCTTTGCAACCCCTTGGACTATGGCACGCCAGGCCTCCCTGTCCATCAGTAACTCCTGGAGCTTGCTCAAACCCATATACATCAAGTCAGTGCTGCCATCCAACCATCTCATCCTCTGTTGTCCCCTTCTCCTCCCGCCTTCAATCTTTCCCAGCGTCAGGGTCTTTTCCAAAGAGTTATTTCTTCACTTAAGGGGCCCAGAGTATTGGAACTTCAGCTTCAGCATCAGTCCTTCCAATGAATATTCAGGACTGATTTCCTTTAGGATGGACTGGTTGGATCTCCTTGCAGTCCGAGGGACTCTCAAGAGTCTTCTCCAATACCACAGTTCAAAGCCATCAATTCTTCAGTGCTCAGCTTTCTTTATAGTCCAACTTTTACATCCATACATGATTACTGGAAAAACCATAGCCTTGACTAGACGAACCTTTGTTGGCAAAGTAATGTCTCTGCTTTTTAATATGCTATCTAGGTTGGTCATAACTTTTCTTCCAAGGAGCAGGTGTCTTTTAATTTCATGGCTGCAGTCACCATCTGCAGTGATTTCGGAGCCCAAGAAAATAAAATCTGTCACGGTTTCCATTGTTTCCCCATCTATTTATCATGAAGTGATGGGACCAGATGCCATGATCTTAGTTTTCTGAATGTTGAGCTTTAAGCCAACTTTTTCACTCTCCTCTGTCACTTTCATCAAGAGGCTCTTTAGTTCTTCTTCACTTTCTGCCATAAGAGTGGTGTCATCTGCATATCTGAGGTTATTGATATTTCTCCCAGCAATCTTAATTCCACTTGTGCTTCATCCAGCCCAGTGTTTTTCATGATGTACATATAAGATAAATAAGCAGGATGACAATATACAGCCTTGACGTACTCATTTCCCAATTTGGAACCAGTCTGTCGTTCCATATCCAGTTCTAACTTGTTTCCTGACCTGCATACAGATTTCTCAGGAGGCAAATCAGGTATTCTGGTTTTCCCATCTCTTGAAGAATTTTCCACTGTTTGTTGTGATCCACACAGTCAGGGCTTTGATATAGTCAATAAAAAGCAGGTGTTTTTCTGGAACTCTCTTGGTTTTTCAATGATCCCATGGATGTTGGCAATTTGGTCTCTGGTTTCTCTGCCTTTTCTAAATCCAGCTTGAACATCTGGAAGTTCATGGATCACATAGTGTTGAAGCCTGACTTGGAGGATTTTGAGCATTACTTTGCTAGT